CGTCTGAATCTGAAAGATACTTTGTCTCTTTAGTGACAGGTCTTAATTTAGGCCACTGACTTCAGTGAATAAGAGCTGTCGCTACACAAGTGAAGTACGAGATTTGCGGAGCACAAAGCACCCCTTTTTGGCATCGGGATAAGCAGGGATGAAAAGCGTATGTGAAACACAAAGATTTTGAAGAATTAGGACACATGCAAATATATGCAATTGTCATGGTCTACAGTGAAACACTTTACAGGGAGAAAACGCATAACCCCGTTTCTGTGTTTCACCTCAAGGGAAAATAGAGTCGTAATACCGGTATTCAATGTTAAACGGGGTGATTCCAGACTATTTGGGGTTCCAAGTTTCACTTTCATTTTGTTTTTCAATTTGTCAAAACATTTAGAGATATTTTCATCAAAATTTTTTAAGTATTCTATTCGTATTTTAAAGTATTTACTATTCGTAAGTGGCATGAATTTGTAATGAACAATTATTTTACTGCTGTTATTCTTACTTTCTTGTTCCCAAATGAAACGTTTAACGCACTTTCAATTCAAGATGGCCGACATACACCGTCAGTGGCAAGCACATCTCATAGTGTGTTGGCAAGGTAACGTGCGTTTTTTATTCACTGCGCTTCGATCGCAATTCGTAAATCCAATAGGTTAGATTCACTTTGCACTCTAAGGCTGAAATTAATTCTGAGACATGTATAAGATGTTTATGATAAAAATGACTTGTGTAAATAGACAAGCACCATTTTTATGCACATTTGACCGCTTCACAATAGTGGTGTGTTGTGTATTGCATGCATTCATGCCACTCTAATAAAACAGACACGTGAATGGAAAAAGGAAAAAGTATTTGTACTGAAATCACCCCCCAAATTACGCTTTCTGTCCCTTTCAAAATAATTCAACATTTTACGTCAAACATACAAGGAGTATTCACCAGCACTAACCTTTTGTATTAATCGGATTTATTTAATGTGATTATTTTCATCCAGGTAGCTTTTACCAGTGTTTACAAAGAATGCATATTTGGCAGTACGGCTAAAAGATTTATAATAGCAAAAGTGGAAATCGTTTCGTCAAATATTTGGACTCAGCTTTTTTCGTCAGCTTGATCTATAACTAACTACAGGGCGTAAAACGTCTACAACTTTTTGAATACTGCAACAACTTGACAAAAATATATAGCTTTTGAAGATGAACTGCTTTTTTCAGTGCTGCATTAATTTTTGCTAACAAAACATTAAATAAAAAGGTATTTTAAAAAATGAAATTCATGCAAACCATATTCAGCCAGATTGCAGTCTTGTCATTGTCATGCCTAATGACTCTATTTTTGATTCTAATTACTTCACTCTGAGTTGTGACCAAAGATTCCCTGATGACTCTTGATAAAATCTTAGGTCAGGTATCACCCATCATGATGTAAAAATTTCATCTGGAACATTGTGTCGTAATTGCAGTGGTGATCAGAGAGCCTTCACTATAAATGCAGGCGGTTTTACGACACGTGTCAAGAAAGTTAGCCAGAAGGTTTAAGAGAATAGGTAAACTCCTTGAGTGTCAATGTTCTGCCTAAAAAGGAGGGTTCAGCTGGGACACCGGCTCGTACACCCAGAAATTCTCATCCTTCACTGTCTAAAATTCCAATCAGGTACGTACATTCAAGATCGCTGGTCAAATCACTTCAATCTGGATTATCCTCGCCCTTATCGTTCACCCCAGCCCGATCGCGACTTCTCAGATCATCATCAACCTAATTATGCGTACAGACACGGGTAAGAGAACCAGACAATATTATAGAGACATTTTGCGCATGTGCGAAAGATCAGCCTCATTTCTAAATCACGACTTCGTTGTTGACGCAGGCTTCACCTCAGACACACAAATCGCTTGTAGGCATGTGGTGTTCGAAAATAGTGAATATACTTCCCATCGGGACCATGGTGTTATAGTTAAGTTTTGTTATTTACTTTTTATTGAGCTGCAGACTTCAAAATCAGGGAGTAAATTCAGTCGGAGCAATAAACCGTGTTGAAGCCGAGATTTGAAAACCGTCGGTGAAATTTCCCAGACCCAGCATGCTTTCAACAAAATTTTACTTACGGAATATTCTCAAGATCGGAATGCATTACCCTCACATAAAACAACAACAGGTTCTGATTTTGGGATACGTATTTTATCCAAAATTTCATTTCATCTGAATTCGAGCACATGCACTGTGACAATCGGGAGCACGCAGACGTCTGTAAATCGGACAGAAATGGTGCCAATTATGACCCTTGGCCTGAACTGAGTTGCTTGACGTGTTTCACTGGAAATTAAAGATTATGGCCACAAGATCAGCTTGCTTTTTAGGGTTATTAGCCACAAAACATTTTTATTTACTGTTCCCCGAAAATTCTCCCAAACCTTAGTAAAATTAGGCGCTCAGGTCTGTACTATTCAGCTGCCCGCCTGAACACAAAAATCGGCCCACACGGACATCCCATGCTTGGGGTCGATTTTGCCCTCTATAGGCCTACGTGTGCCAATCTTTCAGTGTGGTGTAAAAGGTCACGCGGCAAGCTTCCGGAACCATCACGCAGTCCGCCTACTTACATGGGGCCGTCCTATCACGTTCTATAATTTTGGAAAGACTAAATTCTAAATGAAACCACCCAAAGAAACACTCATATCGGAATTATTCCTTTTTCTTCCTCAAGTAATATTTCGAAAGAGTCACCTGGAGATGGGCAAAAAAAATTATATTAAAAACCTTTCACTTCCGGCGATATCGTTCCCAGGTCTCCTTGTTCGTGCACGTTTGTTCTCATTCCTACTGTACTTACATGAAAACAAAGTTGCACAACGTTGCAAAGATTTACCTACCTGCAGTCGATGGGTTCGAGATTCAATCGAGCTGACCTGACGCAATTCTTGTCAGCAAAGGTCAGATTAAACATTAGAATCTTTCGTAAAAGCGGGATATTGTTTCAAGTTGATTTCCTAATAAATTACAAATTTATTCAAATAGTTTTGTTTGTTTTTATTTGGGCTTTTACCAAAAGACTACAGTAAAGTATAACACTGTAACGCTACATCTGCGTACGAGTCCACTACCTTGTACTGTCCCTCGTGTGTTTTATATTTTCGGAAGGATATTTCTCTTTTAGGTCAGGTAATTTTCCACTTTATATAAATGTGCTTGTCAAACACAGCCGACTCGTAAAAGGTTTGGAACGTCGGGTTGCATCGGGCTGACTGTCAAAAAGATCGGGTGCTTTCTAAATTTGGATGAAATGAGATTTTGGATGAGATGCGCGCGCTGAACTCAAAACCAGCGGCTGTTTTATGTTTGGAAATTTTTTCCGACCATGCGACGTTACGTCTTGTAAAATTTCGTTTAAATATTGAGAACACGTCAGATCTGGAAATTTTCATTTGGGCGAAAAGATTTTATGAACAGGGGCATGTGGACTGCATGTGGATGCGTCCCCCACTCGTCCGTCTCTGAATGAGGGATGAAACCATCGGCTTAATTGGCTTCTGTTGCCGGTGAGAAAATTCGTGTGCCCGAAACCCGTAGAGAATAAAAGGCAACATTCCTCCATCGAGGACTTGACAAATATTATAAGGCCCTGATCAACTTCTGCAGAAAAAATTCAAGTTGAAGATCAATTTCTCCTTGCTCGCTGAGTGTAGACTCCGCCACTGATCTCAGCAAGAAGTACGTAGGCCTACTTCGCCCTTGAATCAGTCCTATTCTAAGATTAGAAGACAGGATACCTGACGACATTATCATAATGCACAATTTAATAATGTCGACGATCTGTTGGGTCAATCGTAATGATTCTCCGTTGACATCAATATCCCGTCTTGAGCTGAAGCCAACGGCTCTTACATGCTTCAAGATGTACCGGATAAAAATCAGCTCTAAGGGAACAGTCCACTAATTCAAGTTGAAAACAGTGTCAAATTGGCACTGTTCAGGGCCCAATAACATGCATACAACATCCCTGAGATTTCTGAAGCACAAATTAAATGATTGTCTGGTCCCTAATCTTTTAATTTGTTTTCAATTTTTTGCGGCTTAAATTCCCGCAACACAACCCCCCCCCCGAAAAGTGACTTTTCTGAATCCTGATTGCAGCCATTTTTCAACTTGCAACCCTCGACTTTCTCGAGATCCTGGCACCGATTTACACAATCGCACCATCTTGGGGGCCCAAAAATCTGCCATTTCAAAAGATGCTGTGGGGGCACTGTTAATGCTAATGCGCTGGCCAGAAATACTTGAATTACTGGACTGCAACTCTAATACGCGTCCACCATTGGACAAGCAAGCAATATTGTGCACTTCGTTGCCGTCAGCCTGGGTATGATTAACTTGGTGTGATTTCAGGGAAAGTTCTTAGATCACACTTTGAAAGATACTGGTTATATCCGAATTTGAAACAGGGTCAACCAACGGGTTAGAGAGCTTTAACCTCAAACAGTCGTCACCTCCAAACACAGAAATTAGCATTTCGCCTCCCGATCGTGCTCACACGACGGGCAAACTGCATCACCGGTGCAGAGCGAGAGAGGCGTCGCACTGGATATAGTGACTGGTGAAAGAGTGGCCTGGGAGTGAGCAGATAACACACCCTGGCTGGCTTTGTAGTCTAGAAAATATATCCCCAGCTCATCGCCATCTTCAAGACTACCGATTAAACATCTTGAGGACAGGACCAACCTCATCATCTGTACTCCTCCGACGCGAAAGCCGTCAAGGATTCGTCCATTCCTCCTGACTAGTGTCTACTTTGACATAGGTAGGTACGCAGTAGGCCTATACCTACAGTTATCAACTCAGCATCTTCATAATGCAGCATACTACATCAAGCTGTACCGTGAAGTCGTTCGAAATATTCTGTGATATTTAATTAGGGGCGCGGGCCCTGTTGTGACGCGTGAATATGTTTCACACAGTGTCAAGTCAGTTAATTGACTTTGTAATTGCATTTAGAAGGTGGCTATATACACTAATGCTTCTGTTTAGGATAGCATAATATTTTACAACCTTGCAGTTTATTATAAGTCGATTTGTATCACACATTTTGTGGATAATTATGTTGCAAACATATTTTTAACTGAACAGTGGACAAAGCCCACCATTAAAGGGCATTCTTATTCTGAATAGCGGTTGAGTTCATTTTTAATGTTAATGATTCAACAGAAATGGTAAATTTTCATCTTTACTGTACTGTATGGTCTTATAACAATAAGTAAAGACTGGAGTTCTCAAAGAAATGAAACTCAACTCGTTGTGGCATAATTACCTAGTGATAGATCGCTGGGAATTAAGTAAAGATAATTTACAGAAATCGATGTGAAACCGTGTAATATTTGATACCCTACATCTGCTGTATTACATTTTTTTAGCATGCTTACATATTTCAAAGGAACACTAGGCTTATCCAATAAGCACCAGGTAAGCTAGGGTTGTTTATGTCTATCTTCCTTGTGTTAACTATACAACAGGTACGAAATTGTGTGTAATTAACGTTGCCAGTCATTGACTATTCCTACTACTGCAGGTCAGCTTGCTTGGGTGTGGGTATGATAAAGTAGGCTTACGTCAGTGAATGGGGTGTTGCCCTATCTTGTGCGAGACATCGTAATCGCTTTTACTATGATCTCACGTTCGAACTTCGGATAGTAATATTTATTTGGGGCAATTAACATACAAGACAATCACGAGACACAGCAGGCTGCCCAGGAGAACATAAAACTTTAAAAATAAACTGTCACCAAAAGGCGTATGTCTCCCAAGACTCAAATAGAAAGGTAAGGCAAGAAAGAGTGTAATAAAAAATAATAATTATTAAGATAAAAATTATGGCAATGGGTTGGAAAAGCCAGCAAAGTGGTCCTTCAGCCCAAGAAATATAAGAGCAGATACAGCAGATGAAGCATTTTTTACAAGCAGAAAGAAAGAGTAGTTTTAAGAACTAAGATGAGTAAACACGAAGCTGTAAAATTCTGGAAATTAAGCCACATTTTAATTTTGTAATACAGATACTTTTAACTGGATTTTGTTATGCTTTTCATGTCTGTTACATTTTATCGGACGAACATGTTTGATAAAGTATTACACATGAGTTTCTTTGACCGTGGTGATCAAATCCAAACGAAAGTATTCGAAATAATGCAAATGACGAAAAGGGCCCAATTATGCGGAATACGCATATAAATAACTGTTTTATCGTTTTGTTATTAGGTTTGTTGATTCATACTTAATGTAAGCTATTAGAGATGAGTCAAAACAAGACTTCTATACTTGCCTTGAAAATCATTCGTTGACATTACGAGTTTTCTATGTAAACGCTGCACAGCCGTCTAAAGGGGTTATGGACATTTTTGACACCATAGGACACAAGTGACATCGTTCGTGATGCAGATGTGATTTAAACTCCTTCAACTCTGCATTAAAACAGCTTATTTTGATATTTATGTGCTTCTCCCTTTTCCCAGTGATAATGAATGCGTTTTTAGTTCGGAAGTCCGAAAAAGTCCGAACAATCCGCCTTGTTTTTTCCTCACCGTAAAATTTGGGGCTGATTCAATAGCCCATCTCCCTTTGGTTCAGAAACTGGGACTATAAAATCATAAGTCCATACTACCTGGATTTATGACCCAGATTTAAAACCTATACTCCCGACAGATTTAAACCCAACCACCCCGTTGAATAAGCGTATCAAAGTTTAAAATATCCTGAACAGTCTCCAAGTGGCAAAACAAAACAGACAAAATAATAAATGTTTAAGTCTCACAACGCGTTAATTACATGTAATGCATCGGAAGCCTTTGGCCGTACCTCTTAGGATTGCAAAACAAACTTTACCATTAACCTGTAAAATCTGGAAAAATACTCTGAACTTACGTTGTTTGAAACAAACGTCAAGCTAAGAACATTTTCACAACCTTCGCGTTCTGTTCAATACTTGCGGATTTACTATTCGTGGGCCCATAAAATATTACGAAGGTAGAGAATATGAGAGCGCGCATACAAATCTTTATTTGGTTAGCGTAGGCTATTTGTGAAGTTAAGTCCAAAATCTTTATTACACCCCTCGATGCATTATAAAAATGCTCGCATACGAAACATTTAAGATTACAAAAATAACTACATATAGAAAACTGCAAAATTCAAGCAATATAAAAGATTAAAATTCCTCAGCAATATCTAAAGAACGACAAAGTTAATGAACATATCAGAAAGATATTTGTTTCTAGCCCCTCCAGGTGCGCTTCAAAGCCTTTAAGGTGGACTCTGCAGTCTGGAACATAAGATGATGTTTTATTTCCAGGAGAATGGAGGATGGCCGTTGGTTTGTCGCAGCAAAAAGTATCTGCACACGACCAGACCTTGGGATCAGGTGTTCAACTATAGTGTAACATTAGTTCAAAGCTGATCCGATGCATGTTACTGCCGGCAGAGTATCAAAAGAGAAATTACATTAACATAATACACTGAATTACGTAACACCTTCAGCCATATAGCGTGTCTTCCATGAGCAACGGTGACATCACGCACGCGAAGCTGCAGTCAAAATCATGTCTACTCGCTGGAAGAAGTGTTCAAAGTCATGTTATGGATTGTCTGGACATTTGTACAGTTCCACCACATCGTTTGTTTTAAATGTTTTAAGCTTTAATCCAGAGTATAACCTTTCATGAACTTTAAGACTCAGGGATTATTATTTTCTTGTACATTCTGACAACAGTTTCTTTAGTAAGACGAGATTTGACTTTCTGTTGGGTTTCAAGGAGGTTGAAATTACAGTTACTCTTACGGACTGGTCCCCGTTCCTAATATATAGGCATCAGTAGATAGCTACTATGTGAAGTAGACCTATAAACGATTAGCCCTATCAATTTGGATTCTGAATATTTGAACTTTTGTCAGGCCAATAGCAGTGTGTTGACACGAATTACGTTCCAGCATTCAAGCAAATAATCCACAAGTACCTATCCTTGTTCATGCTATGATAATCACAATGTGGTAATTTATTTTTCAATGAATGTCAACAATAAACTATTTTATGGCAGGTTATTTAAATGGTTATTATGTTAAATTTATATATTTAGACAATTTATGTTGAAGTTTTTCCAGTATATTTATACCAAAGAAAAAGTCAATATATTCCATCAGGTCTGATGGAATGCCTGATTTTTGCATTGAGCGGGCTTCGTTTCCTCATTTACATAAAACTGACAATTCCTCTGGTTTTATTACCCACTACACTGTTAAAATATTTGCTGTATATTTACAGTATTTTCCGTATGTATTGGCACCTCAAGGGCTACAGTAGATCTACTAAAAACTTTTGTTGTATCTCAACAGATATTTTCGTTGTAACAAAACACTTTGTACGTTTACATGGAATCTTTATCAATTCTTATTACGGAGACGTTCTCTGACAATTTTATTTGTGTAAGCAACGTATAGACGAGGTTGAAAGAGGCTGCATACGCGGTTGAGAGAGGCTACCTACGCTTTTCATCGGTGATAAGGCATCATAGAGTGTAAAATTTCCAAATATCCCAGCAAGGAGTGGTGCAAATATTATCCAAGTAGATGCCGTTTAATGTAGGTTTTTCCTGCTGAATTCGTCATCTTCGCACACGAATTAGCGACAGTTTCATTCAAATTAGCACGAAATAGATTGAGATCTAAATCACCATTCAAAGAGCAAAACGAACATTCATTTTCTTTTCATGAGCATGTGATTTGCACAGTCTTGTTATTAAAAAAATGAAAGGTCAGCATTTAATTTAGAAAAACACGCAGAAAGCATTCAAATTCGCGTGGACACTCTCCCGGTATGTGTGTTGGCGTTCAATTTTGTGAATTGGCAAGCATTTGTGAGTTTCGTACAATGCTATTCAACGTTAAATCTTCTAGTTCTTTTTGTTTTCTTTATGACTACTGTATGCTAGATATTTCATGAAAGGAAACGCTTGCTTCAAGGGTAGAGATCTTTGCAAAAAGAACGATTGACCAATGATTATTTTCTAATTTGCTTATTCGTATTTTGGTTTTGTTTGAACTGTTACGGAAAGAATGAATAACAAACAGCGAGGTAAAATTATTTATATCACTCAAATGGACAAAGTGGGTAATGTCTAAAAAGGATGAGAAAAATAGAATGAGACATGAAAGCAAAAACATTACTTAAAGATGTCAGAGAAAAAAGAAAATAAGAATTGTTTAAGAGAACCAGAAAAATCGTAGTATACAAGCACGGAGAGAAAGTGTTTCTTGTATACATAAAGAAATTACAAATCAGTAGACTGCATCTAAAGGAGTTTCTTTCAGCATCCGTGATGAAGGTCCAGAGGAGTTTCATTTCTTGATTTTGATTAAACGGGCATGCAGTATTGGAGCAAATGTACATTATTCTTGACATGTAATTTGTCTAAGACATAAAAATCTACACTAAAGTCAATAGGTGGGACACCCAGCCCTGTTTCTGTTAACGCTCCAACTGATGTATCTGATGATGAAACCTAGGACAACTTCTATCAATAGCGAGCTCCGGCTCATATCTCATTACGATATTACCATCGTTCCTGGGGACATGAATGCTACGATTGGTTGAGATCGTCTTGGCCTCGAACATATCACTGGACCACACCCTGTCCCTCCGCCACTACCAACAACGTGACCTAATGCTTGAAGTCTGTGCTACACATAACCTTAAGATCTTCGGCACCTGGTTTCAGCATCAGCAGATCCATAGAACCACCTGGTACAGCAATACTGGTA